AAAATATAAAAGTATAAAAGATATAAAAAATATAAAGGTATAAAAGATATAAAAAATATAAAAGATATAAAAAATATAAAAAATACTAAATATAAATCTCTAATTATCTAGCCAACTATTAGTCTATTTCTTATATATTATAGCTTATTATAATTATAGAGATCTTCTAAGTTTTATAGAAATATCAAATCCATTCTATAATAGGATAAATAAAAGACAAATAGATTAAAAAACTTTATAAAAAATATAAAGAAAAGAGACAGGAAGTAAATATAGAAGTCTTAAAAGTAGTTACAAATAGATATTTAATATAAAATATATAAACAAGCTACTACTAACTTTTGACAAGTTAAATAGAAGAAACTTAAGTTTATATCTGATAAATATATATTTTGTATGTTTTAAAAAAAAAGATGATCTAGTATACTTAGCTATTTATAAAATATATAAAAAAATATAGAAAAGAATAGAAAAAGAAAGCCAAAACCAAAACCAAAAAAAGAGTATAAAAAAAAAAGTAGTATAATAACTTGCAAAAAAATTTAAAGAAGAAATAATAAAACTAACTTAAAATAAAAGATATAAAAACAAAATTAGCTATATTAAAAAAGTAAATTAGACTTTTTTCAAATAAAAACAAAAAGAAAAAAGTATTAAAAAAAAGATACTTTTTAATATTACAAAAATATTTTTAGAAAATAATATAGCAGCTAAAATATAAAGCACTAAATAAATAGAAGCAAAGTAAAGAGATTACAAATTAAAAAAAAAGAAAGTATACAAGAAAACAGCTTGCAGTTCAAGAAAATAAAGATAAAAGAAAAAAAGGCCAAGTTAAAATATAAAAAAAAAATATAAATAAAGAAACAAAAAGAAAATAGTAAAGAAAAGTAGAAGAGAAATTGAAAAAGTAGTTTTGTTTAATAAAAAACCAAAGTGGTTAAACTTGTACAGACTATTTAAATACAATTTGTAAATATAGTTTTAACAAAACTAACAACTACTTTTCTAGAATCTTATAAGTAATTTTTTAATAAATTAAAAGCCAAAAGTAAGAAAAAAGTTGCTGTAGCAGATTATATTTAGGTATTTAAAAGTAGCCAAATAAGCTTTTATTAAGAAGAAAAGAGGATGTAGACAGTAGCTAAATACTTTTATATAGTTATATAATATATATATTCTTTATATAATAAAAGCAGGATTGCTAAAAAAAATATATATATATTTATAAATTTTTTCTAATAAAAAATAAGAGTATATATACAAACTTTTTAACTATATATTAATTTAAAAAATTTATTTATAAAAGTTTTTTTTTAATAAAAAATAAAAATATACAGATCTTATTTAGTATAAATGAGAAATATAAAAATATTATAAGATTATAATATAAAAAACTCTAATTCTAAGATTGAAATCTTACAATTTAGTAGTTTAGATATCTAACTCTTTATACAGTAAGTAGGTTTTGAGTTCAAGTTTTAGTAAATGCAAATTTTATGAATATTTGAATATACTTACTATAGAAAGTTTAAGTAAGTACAAGTTTAGATTAGAAATTTCTAAAAAGAAATCTATTTTAGAGAAGTTGGTACTATGTATGTATAATTGCAGTTATTACAGAAGATTTTATTACACAAAGATTGTATATATAAATCCTTGATTAGTATAGATAGCATCAATAATTCTAAGACAGTATTAGGATCTTGTTTAGAAAAATAACTAAGCAATAACTAGAATTGAAGTGATGAGAAAAGTGGTAAACACAAAGGAATCTGTAATAAAAAATTGGCTTTATCAAATTTAAAACATCTCTGAAATTATATATAGTAGAATTACTTACCAAAAAGAGGCTAAAGTATAAAGGTATATATATATTAAGATTTAACAAAACTTTGGGTGGCTTGAAATACTTATTTAATATAGTAAAGGTAGCTACATAGCTTGAGTATGAATCTCTAACAAGTATACCAAGTAGGAATACAAATTAGACACATCAAATTGGAAGCAAAAAGCACCTACCTGAAGTATATATTAATATACCAATTTGGAAGTTAAGATAGTAGGTAAAGTGGGTAAAGCAGAGGATATGTGAAAGTTAATTGAAGATGAGTAAGAATATACAAAATCTAGATTAATCACATATGTGAGAATGTTGATGGCTCTGGTGGGTTTTAGCTATAGATAAATGGTTTGTATACCTAAAGTCCTAGTCTCAATACTAATATGTAATATGTATGTATTTATAGCACTACTATATGTCAATTCACTTAAGTATTAATAAAAGTTTGAGGCGGGTGCTACACCCAGGGTATTTCCTCTAAATATTAAAAAAAAAAAAACTTTAATTCTAACTTTAACATAACTTAAATTTAATCTATAACCCTTATCTAATATATAGTAATTATTAACAATGTTGTTTCTAGACAGGTGGTTTATTCTAACTTTGTCGCTAAAATTTGACCAATTTTCTACTTTATACTAAGCAGTAGGTTTACTAAATTTTATGAAATAAGTATGTTTATAAACTTAATTGTTCAGACTTTGTGGCTAACGATACATCCTTATATGATAGGTTTATTAAATAATAAAAATTTGTACAGTATGATGGTAGTATGAATGAAGCTAATTTATATACATTGTGTTTGAATTTCTTTTTTTTCGTTTGATGGTTATGATTATATGGGATGAACTTACGCGCCAATATTAATGATCAGGTTACAAAAGCGCAAGCATACAGATAAACATATAAAAGATAAAGCTAATGTTAAATACATTTTCGAAATTTTTATTTTTTTCATTTTCTTTCTATTCTAAATTTGTTAGTTTAATTTGTAATTGTACGTAAAAAAATGTATTACGCTAATATTTGTTTACATTTGTTTTGATCTTCGTTAACGCAGTTGGATTTCCCGTGTATACCTTTTCCTTTTCCAGGTTCATTGTTGGATGTTTATTTGATTACAAATTTCGGCTGTTTCTTTTTTTTGTCGGCACATTTTCGGCGGCATCCATAATTTATGTTAAACCAGTACTGTATTGTATAGAAATAGGGATTTTGATAATAAACTATTTGGTTGTATTATCTTTAAAATTTCTATAACAAACTGGTTTAACGTAAATTATGGATGCCGCCTTCCTATTTCACTAAATCCAAAAAAAGATAAAATAAAATAAAATAAAAAAATAAATAAAAATAAATAAATACGTAAATGCTAATCATATTTGTTTACTGTATAAAATAAGTACTAAAACCTGGTAATGCACCAAAAACAAAAAAAAACTTGGTAATGCCCGTATTATCTATATTGTCTGATGATTAGATTTCCCATAGTGCAGTGATAAGCGAAATTTCGAGTAATCATGAATATTTAAAACTGGATAATTATTATCGTTATAGACAAGATTTCCAGATTATATCACAATCAGGAAATAACGTAAGAAGTGTGACATATAGATACAGTACGGAAGCAGTGCTATAATTTCAATAAAAAAAAAAGATAAAATTTGGTTTATTTAATCATCATGGAAGTATTGAATATACGCTATTTATTAAAACAAGCTTTTTTTCTCCATGAGCTATTGAAATATAAAATATATCAATATATGTGATGATTGACTTGCCTATTGCCTGCTAAAATCTTTCTATGGTCCAAAAATCTTAAAATTACTGCAACGTAAAATCCATTCGTAATTATCCGCTCGGCATATCAGATATGTTTCTTAACATCACTATTTCTCGATCACTCATCATGTATGAGCCCTTGCTAAGCCTTAATTCGAATGATATATATATCGATATACTGTAATATGTGATAATAAAATTATGAACAACTAAGTAATAAATAATCAAGTTAGATGACCACCTCTTTCCAGCCAGGTGGCAGGTGGGTACTTATCCACGTTTTGGGTTTATCTGACGAAACTTCCCAATTATACCTATGGCATGTTAATGAAAAGAGTCAACTAATGTTGACTAGTTGCTGAATATTCGGTTTAGCTTCTAGTGACTATAAATTACCATTAACTATCGCTATGCAATATGAAATTATATATATACAGTATTATAATTTTAGCCAATTACTACCCGAATTAATAAAGTCTTAGTTGACTACGTGTTATTAGTCATTTAATATATTTTTTAGCTGACTAACTAGTTGACTAAAAAATTTTTTAGTCAATTCAGATAATTAATGTTAAAACATAACAAAAGAACAATATAGCGATCGTTTCTTGAAAGATTCGTTCGAATTCATTTCCTTATTTAATACATAATATATCACAAAAATTTAAGTTGATCAAGGATTAGGATTACAACGATGATAATTGAACTTCTAATTAAATCATAAATCATAATCTAGTTTAACCTAACTGCTAAGCGTAAAAATTCATGTATACGACAAAATCTAAGGAGAATGTCAAAAAGTTTTAATTGTCATAAATCTCAAAAAAAAAAAAAAAAAAAAAACGCGCATAGTACTATAATATTTCGGCGAAGGAATATATTTATATTTGTACTATTTTTAGAAATAACAGCATACTCGTGGCATAACATTAATCAGGTGATTATAGGTGATTATGTGGTTTATTATTTACTATTATTATGCAAGATAGTACCATATCAGTTTATCAGCTAAATTGACTTATCTGTTAATCTGAGCAAAAGTCTAAGCTTGGGTTTCTAAAAGAAAAATCTTCATTTCTGTATTATTTGAATTTTTTACTTCACCGTTTTCCTTTACGCAACCCTTATACTTGTTGAACTGTTTCAAGTTCACTCTTTTTAAAACAAAAATTATTCCCAGCAATTTTGTATTTGATCCGCCGATCTTGCTTTTTTTTTTTTTTTCTCTTTCGAAAGCCGATAATTCCGTGGAACTCGTACTGGTACGTCTACATCTATCAGGGGATCGCGAACTCTCCAACTGCTAAGTGATATATTTTTTTTTTAATCTCTAGTATTCTTTTTATATTATCTTATAGGGAACATTTACAACATCATGTCTTCAGCTACAATGAGACCAAAGGGGGGACGGAGGCAAGACGGCTATCAATCTTTTAACCCAAATTCGAATCAAAGGTAATAAATTATAAATGTCTCCTGCAAATTGTATCTTCAGTAGGGTATACTTAAACGTATCATTTGATTAGTCATAACAATCGAAGCTCTAAAAACAAATGGAATACCAATTCACAACATCTCGTTAATAACACACCGAGAAATCAACAAATCTCTCCAACTACTCAACCGTCTACTAATCATCATAACAATACACCATCTTCCGGTTCAAACTCCCTTAAAACTATTGAACAACAAGTTGTTCACGACGAGGTTGCTGCAAAACATATGCATGATCGTATTTTGTTTTTGCTAGCGAATTTTGTGGTAGGTGACTCTTTATGAATATTAATTTCTATTTTTAATTTGTAAAATGTGTAAACTAAATCTATTTCATTTGATTACTTATTGTAAATTATGGTTTGTATCAATTTTTAAATTTACTTGAAATTTCGTAGGGTATTAATGTTATAGTTACTGTCAAAAGTGGAATAAAATATCAAGGTCTTTTATCCCGTGCTTGCACTGAAAATGAATTGGGTGTTGTCTTGAAATGTGCTCGAAAAGTCCTTTCTAAACAAGATGAAAAGAACATACCTAATGGTATGATAAATGAATTTATTATATTTGCTAGAGATTTGATGGAAATTTACGCAACCGGCGTAGATTTTTCTTTATCTGAAAAAAATTCAAGCGAACGTGAAGGTAATTATTCGTTATTTTTTTTTTATTTGTTTGATTTTATATTATTGAATTTATTTAATTAAAATTTTCAAGTTTAGGATTTAGAATTGATGCAGATATTAGTGGTCGGACTGAAATTCGGGAACGTGAACTTCATAAATGGACACCAGATGAATCGGGAGAGACTATGAAGGGTTTAGAATATCCTTTCCTGTTTATTTTATTATCTAATAAAACATTTCTTGTTATAGTTTCAATAATTTACTTAATATTATAATGTCATAATCCTTAATTCTATATTACGGATGACATGAACCCAGAGTCTGCTAACGCAAGTTGGGATCAGTTTGCTGCTAATGAACAATTATTCGGTTTAACAACCGATTATAACGAAGAAATCTATACAACAAAATTGGATAGATCAAAAGCGGATTATAAGGAACGAGAAAGAAAAGCCATCAATCTAGCTAATGAAATAACTCGGGTATATTATCTTAATTCTAACTCAACTTATTATTTAACAAAATAATTAATTTTTTTTATTGTTTAAAGGAATCAACGACAAATGTTCATATGCTTGAAGAACGTGGTCATATTGTCGAAGATCAAATGGATGAAGAAGAAAGGTACTTTTTCCATTGAATATCTTTATTACATTATATCTTAATGAATAATAAATGTCAATTAAATTTATTTTCTTTTCCAATATAAAAATAAAGATATGGCGCCGTTGTACGTAATAGGGATCCAAGTAAATACACGCCACCACACTTAAGAAAACAACAAGAACAACCAATACAACCAAATGGTGTGGCATCGGCCGTAAAAAAAGTAGAACAAAATAATGAAGTTGCTAAAGATACCAAAGTTAAACCTCCAGAAGATCCAAAACCTACAACAAAACCTGCACAACCTACCACAATTCCTACCTCCCCCTCATCTTCCATACCTAAAAGTACATCATCATTATCTAATTACAGAATTCCTGAACACGTGATGGCTTCGCTTCAGTTTCCGAGGGTAAGATTTTATAAGCTTTGTTACATATGTTTGTTCACATTTTATTAATCTTTTAATATAAATTATAATCAGAAAATCGGGTCTGAAGCTGAAGGAAAACCTATTGAAGGTATATATTTATTCATCTTGTATCGAGTAATTGATACAGATTTCACCATAAATGTTTTTTTTATTCTTTTTTTTATTTTAATATTAGCACAAATTGTAAAAACATTTCGTCAATTTGCTACAAACGAAAAAGAACGCCTTCAACAAAGAAAACAAGCTATTTTCAAAAAGGAAATGGATGGCAAAATGGCTGAATTACTTAAGTGGGGTCAAAATTTCAAGGTAATTATATGTTATGTGAAAATTTCATTTATTTTTATATTCGGTTGATGCTCTCAATTTAGATAATATATAATATTTTTCCAGCTGAATTCACCGTTACCTGAAGATCTAATTCCAATATTGACTAAAGATGAAACAAAACGTCAACAACTTCAACTTGCTGCAAAGGCAGCTGCAAGCGAGAAAGAAAAAGAAATTGATAAAGAAAAAGAGAAACAAAAGGATAAAGATAAACAGGAAACTGAAAAGGAAAAAGAAAAAGACGATAACAAACAAAAAGAAAAAGAAAAGGTTACCAATGCTCAAACTTCAGAACAAAAATTAGAGTTTGTAAAACCATCAATTAAGATTGAAGAAGTTCAACCACAAAAATCAAATGGGGAGTCTAAAACAAATTCAGAAAAAGTTATATCAGAAAAACCTACCTCAGCAGCTGATAAAGCTCCACCACAATTTCCCTCTAACAGAACTCCCGTAACAACACAAACAAATACACAATATAAGCTAAACGCTAAAGCACCCGAATGGAAACCTAATCCTAATGCGGCAAGCTTTACGCCGGTACGACCTTATGTATCATACTTAAATCTTGAATTTTATTATGATTACTGTTTTTTTTTTTTTTTTTAATTACATGTATTTTAGAAATTATGCATGTTTATTCTTATTCGTTTTTTATGTAAATGTATATATTATATGCATTGCAGACTCCTAATTCCAGCACTGGGGATAAAAGATCTCCTGGTTCGGTGAGAACTCATCCCTTTGTTTTACATTATTAGAATCCTTTATATAACAAATATTTATTTTTATCATTGTAGTCCCCATTTTTTGGTAATCGTCAGTTAAAAAAAAATTTTTTGTCACTCAAGGATGGTTTTAGTCCGTTCCAGAAGAGCAAACCCTTACCCAATCCTAGTACAATCCGTAAGTTCAACTAAAATAATAAGTGATTTTTATCGAATGATAATACTAACTTAATATACAGCTCCTACGTGGCCTTTTGGTCAAAGACCTTTTAGGCATCATTTTTCAGTTACCAACAACTATGAAGAAGATATCTACTCACAAGCAGCTGCAAATCAAAGTTTTGGCTTCGCTGCTTACCCCGTAGCTGCCCCTTATCGATATCCTTCTGGTCAATTTGTTGGTGTTCCACCTATGCCCTTGCAACAAGCGACACCCATGCCATATTTGCCGCAAGGTGTAAGTTTCAATTCTTTTGATCAAATAAAACTTAATCAATTTATTAATGTTTTCTTCTTTATTAGTTTGTTCCAGGTATTCCTTTCACTGCAGCAGCACCATTGCCACCGACTGGCGCTCCACGTAAATAATTTATTTGTTTATTATTATTTGTATCCTTGAAATTTATATAGTATTTTATTGATATTTCATTGGTTTTCAATTTTTAGCTACGATTTATAGTCCGCAGATTTCATCAATGATTCCACGTATGTGGTTAATTATCTTTATTCTATGTAGTTATCGAATGTGAAGCATTATCTGGTGGTGAAATTTAATATATCGTTTCTGGACCCAAATAGGCTCAGAAATGACATATTAAATTCGTAGTTAGATAATTGTTGTCTGCATAGCATACAATAACGTTATCCGGTGGTTTATGGCGATTATGCTTGCTAAATAACTCGAATTTTTTGAGAAGCACTATCATAGCAAGTTATCGGATAAAATAATTATTTTATTTTATTTTATTTTATTTAACTATATTCTCTTTATAGAACATTTTGGTTCACAGGGATTTCAGTCTCCTGGACGTACCCCGATCGTTCCTGCTGGTATACATCCCCAAATTTACCAACCATATCAAAATCAACATGGTAAATAATACTGATTTTGGGCTCTCAGTAAAACTCTATGTTTTTTTATTATCTCTCAATCGTGACGTTTATTTGCGATCATAATAGGTATTCCCATGATGCGATACCCACATGATATGGTACCGCATGTCCCGCCGAATGGTGTTATGATGAGTCAGCGACCTATGATTGTAGATCCACAACATTATAGCGTTCAACCTGAAACTAGTGATATTGGTCAATAATGAAAAAAATCGGCTAAAATTAATTTTCTGCCTATCTAGTCGATTTTTTTTTAAAAAAAAAAATCGACCGATCGATTTCTTAGGGTTATAATTTACATAAGCTTTTGATCATTACAAAAAGTTTTTTTTTGTATATATATATTGAGTCAATACTTTTTCGTGTAACATCAAATTGTCATTAGAGATATAGTAAGCGATGTACTTAAATAACGGATTTAGATCAATGAGAAGTGATACAATATTTTAATCAGCATTACGGTCCTTAATCAGCGCTATAAAACAAAACTGTAATTCGGTGTTATTGACAGAAATCTGGAACTCCACTGGACTTTTAGATTTTACAATTTTACAATAAAAAGAATAATCTTATGTGTCTTTTTATTTGTAACTCATTAGATTTTCCTAAGTATCGGCAGCTCAAGATTTCGCCGATATTCAAGATATTTTGATATTTGAATCCCACCTTGATGAATATACACTCCCTTGCAGGAAAGTATTTGCCCTGCATTAAATCATCGGAACTAAAATGATTTTTAATCGCTCTACTAAAGTTTATAAATTTTACAGGAGTGATTAAAATTCATGGCTTTATCTTAGATAATTTAAGGTAGGGCGAATACTTTAATTGGGAGTGTACATTTTGTTGCCTTACTCATCGTAAATTTTTTTCATGGGTGTTCATATTTCGATTTTGGCTTAATTTATAAACCAAATTATGTTGCGTTTTTTAATCATAAAATTTAAGGGTAGAGGATACGTAGATCATTTATCATATGATTTTTGTGATTTCTATAAAAATAAAATATATTACTAATAAAACTTTACTGTTTTAATTAAATTTTTTTTTAAAAAAAAAAGTACTACGTACTGTATTAGTTTTATATATAATTTGCAAATATTATCTTATATCTTTAAGACTAACTATATATTGATAAAATTTTAAAATATTACTTTGCATATTAAGATTAATTTTTTAATATGTAAGGTTTATTAAAACTACTAATAACAACAAACTATAAATTAATTACTTTTTAATTAGTATTTAACAAAATTACAAAAACTTGATTATCAAGTTTTTAAATCAATTAATTTACAATATTGTGTATTTTTTTTTTTTTTTAGCTTTTTGATAGTCTTGTCAAAGCTCAAATACAAAAAACTTTATTTAACTATTAACTTAGCAAATAAAACCTGTTTTTCTTCAAATTGTAGGCAATATTTTCCAGTTACATAGACTGTGCTTAGAAGTGATCTGTTATACTAACTTCAAAAATTCAGTTAGGAGATCTTGTTAGCTAATTAAAAACTAATCTCTTTAATTTTTTTTTCTTTACTAAGAGTACAAGAAAATAAAATTTTATATTATTAATATAGAATTAATATTAAAAAAAAAAAGAAAAACTAAAACTAAAAAAAAACATATAACAACCAAAGAATCAAAAAAGAAAACAAAAGGAAAAATAGAGAAATATAAAAAAAGAAAAACAAAAAAAAAAGCCTCTATAGGTTAATCAATCTACCTTTATAAAAAAATAGTTTGTAATTAAATAATAAAAATTATATAAAGTGAAGTCAATAGAAATAAGACAAATTTATTAGATAAATTTGTTCTATTTCTATTAACTGTACTTTATATAACTAATGCAACTATAGTATATCTCAATTATAAATTTTACTTTATATAAAATCTTTTTTTTGACATATGACTATATCTGAATACTGATTAAATACTAGGTTCTGATTTTTTGTAGATAGTATCATATTTATTCTAAAATCACACCAAACATATAGTTGCAATCTACCTAGTTGTTTAGATTTGGAAGGAGTAAACAATGTTAATTTTCTAATAAAGATAAGCTGTTTTGCCTACTTTTTTGAAAATTTTGTTAAAAGCACAAGTAGATAATAGTAAAAAGTATAGATTTAGTACTTTTTTTAAGAAAAGTATATATTTCTTCAAAAGTAATAAAACAAGTAAATCCAAGTATATAGTTGTTCTTCTTTTTGGTAAGTAATAAACTCTAAACTTGTTAGCAAATAGTATATAAGAACTATTTCTAAATAACAAGTATTATCTCCACAGTAAATAATAAGCTCTAAATCTATTAGCAGATAGTATATAAAAACTATCTTTAAATAATAAGCAATAGTTTATGGTTTTTGTTAGTCTTATGTTACTCTTTTCTAATATAGTTCTACTGTTTTTGTTAAAAATTTGGTTTTAAAAAGTTAGTCCGAGGGATCTTTAGAAAGAGTTAGTTATTTTTCATTTTAAATAATAGTATATTTTTCTTTTTAAGTTTTTTTTTAAACTATTGAATTTAAGCTTTTTATTTTTTTTTTGTTTTTTGTTTTTTTTTTTATTTTATTTTTTTGTTATTTGTTTTTAGTTATATTTTTTTTTTTACTATACTTCTTTTAAACTTCCTTTTTGTATTATAGTCAGACTCCTCTAAATGTACTCTCTCTAAATGTAGCACCCCTCTAAATGCATTATATAAACCTAGGCTCATAATAGGACTTATAGATAGATACATGTTCTTTATTTTATAAATGCATACTAACTATCTGGCCTACTTATAAAAACTTTCTTCATAAATGTATTTACGTAATTACTAGCCAATCAAATTTATTATTTCAAGACTACTAAAATCACATTATCATATGCTAACAATAATATTGTGATTTTATTAATATTCTCTAATTGTAGCTCTCTCTAAATACATGCTCTAAAGATGGTTCTAGCAATATGTATTTAGAGAGATCTGACTATAGTTAAAACTTTTTATATATCTTTTCTTCATTAAGCTTTATAAAAAAAAAGAAGAATTTTAAAAAAAAATTCTTAGGCTATTTAATACAGCCTTCTAGTTTCTATTAAAGCCAGTATAGCAAGTTATATTTAAATATACTTGGGGTATTTAAAAATATTAATTTTATAAATTAAGTAATTATTATTTTTTTTTTTTTTTTTTTTTTTTTTTTAATATTAAGGTGACCACTTAGGCCATTGGCATGAGCTTTATTCGGATAGTTACGATA